AGTTCTCTTAAGATGTTCCTACTTTTCCAATCCTCTCATTGCTAAACTCACATTCTCCAAAACAGTGACGTCCAATAGAACTTTCTGTGATGATGGAAATGTACTATTATCCGTACTGTCCAATAAGGTAGCCACTAGTCACATATGACTACTATTGACCATTTTAAATGTATCTATGGCAATGGAAAAAACTGAGTTTCAGTATTACTTAATTTTATGTTTAAAGTTAAGTCTCCACATGTAACTATTGGCAACTGTATTGAACAGCTCAGCTCTAAATGGTCTTGCTCTGTTTTTAATAACAGCTGCTAAATTTATAATGGCAGCATTACTAAGTAAGGAAAGTAATAATAAAGGAGCCATTCTTGATTTTTGTCATCTGTTTTACTGTGTTTTCCAACTTGGAAAAAAATTAAAAGTTAACATTCTATATTAGTCAACAAAAAGTGCAAAGGCCCATGGCTATCATTCTGTCCTAAAGTTAAAGAAAATTCATAAAGTTATACAAGTAACTCTACAGTGTATGTCTAATATAGAATGTAAGTCTAAATGCATCCAATCAGTTACAAGTAATTTTCATACCATTGTAGCATCTCATTTTTAAGCTTAACATTGACTTTTGGTGAATCATCAAAATAGTTTTATGCATTAGAAATCTCTACAGAAAGAGATTTAACTTCCATTCCACTAATTTTTTTTTTCTATCTGCAGATGCTTGTTTAACAAATTTGGTGAATGGGAAAAATATCAGTATTCAATTAATAAAATCCTAAACTGTTTAACATAAGTGATTTGCCCTCAGCAGGGGTGAGAGCACTAGACTGGGATCTATTTATCATTTGTGCTTTAAATCACTTTTAGGCTAGCCAAGCAATATGACCAAGATTAGAGTTCTAGGACAGAACTTCAACATTTTTCTCACTTTCTATGCAATCCTTACCAAATAATTCAAGTTCTTTAGGAGGATAAAAAAAAAAAATACAGTGTGTCTTAAAAAAAAAAAAATACAGTGATTCTAAATTTGTGAAGAGTCTACCACTTAACACTCACTCCAATGTGTTATACTAGTTTCTCTAAAACTTAAGCCAATATGCGGCATTATTTTCTGTGTTAAAATTACCTACCCAAATCCCTCTTATCTTTTGATCCATACTTTGATTGCTCAATTGTAGCACATCTCGTTCTGGCGGGTATATACCATTTTTTTCCCGTTTTAAAAAAGTTCAAAAGAATTTAATGATCATGAAAGAAAGAATATTATTATTTGATTTCAAATTGGGCAAAAGCCTTATATGGTCATGTCTATGACAGAGTTTGCCATGACACAAAGACTTCACACAATCTCTTCTCTGATTGTTAAATACACCTATGATATCTCTATATCTTGCATTGTTTCCTAGTTCCCTTTGCATTTTTAACTTCAAAACTCCTAACACAGTAATTTTATTTCTCATTTAAGCGAGAGGTAGGAGGCACTCATTTGACAATTCACAATATCCAATCTAGACAGGAGATGTAAGTAATTTTAAAAGGTGCCTCAAATTTTTGCTAACAGTACTACAAAATGGTTTGGGTCTTTTCCCAGAATTCAACAGAGTGTTATATTACAGTATGGAATGTTACCAAAGCAATACTTCTTAATTCCTTACTATGCAGAGTACAAGCTTTCCTTGAAATGTTTCCTTTTTCCTCTCAAAAATGAAAGGTAAAAATACACTGAGAAGGCCAACAATTGAAAATGTAATTACTCCTTCAATATTAAAGTTCACAAATATATGCTCTCCTAATCAAATGATATAATTTGCTTTCTCTTCTGATATACTTGGGTATATGAAAATTTCCCAGCAACCCCAAAAGTGGCTTCTATGGGATATTAGTTTGAAAGCTAAATTTTTCTAGTCATCAAAAAAACATGTATTTTTAGATCTTCTAAAAGAGACCTTCAGTTATAAGCTATATTCTAGCTTATAACAATAAAGAACCATTATATATTTAGCATTAGAGACTTTTATCTCAAAATATAGATGTTTTGTCAGCACTACAACAGATGACACACTTAAAGTTAGCAAGGCTTTGTTTATGCTTTAGCCTGGTTGTAACAGACTTTATACTTAAAAAAAAAAAAGAAGAAGAAATTGAAAAAATAAAAACCCTTACCATATTTGCAAGAATTAAGTTCGACTATGGTCAATTTTCAAGTAACAGTGCATTTCACATAAAATTGAGAAAATGCTCAAAAAGGGTTTTATATCTAGAACAATCCCTTGAAAACTTCCTCACACTCTGATCACTCTAATACTCCACACTCCTTCAGCACTTACAGAGTATTCCCCACGAGGCCTGCGTTTGAATATATATATTCATTTATAATTATTTCCTATCCTTCCCACGTTTTACCACCCCATCCAAGAATTAAAAATACACAGAGATTTCATTTCTACTCAGCAATTACAGCATAGTAATTTAAAGAATCTGCTGAATGCATGACATCTACTTACTTTCTCAGTTTTAAACCTTGTAACACTTGGTATTATACAAGTGTCATAACACTTGTAGTATTATTATGACACTACTAAATTTAAATGCTGAACAAAGACTATTTCCTAAAGGCAGCTGTACTTCTTAGAACTTTATGAAAGGTGGTACAAATCTGTTAAATAGAAAATAACTATTGTCACCTCATCAGCTATATTTTTCTGTTTAATACTAATACTATTATAATACAATCACCCCACTATATTTCTACAAGTTTTTTTCTCAATAATCTCAAACCAACTTTATGAATGCACTATCCAAATTATTCAATTATTAAATATGAATTAGCATCCTGGTTAGGACAGCTCATTTTATCAATAAAGAAACCACAACAACGAGCAATTTGCTCAATAAGATAATCAGTAAGATGAAACCAGAAACTCCATCTCTCTACCATTTCTTTCAAGTGGAATATGAAAGTACTTAGTGCATATTTTCCGAGAGCTACACACAAAAAACTTTTTTCAATTATCAACAAATGGGACACATGCTTTCTGAAATCAGGCTGCTTCCTCCCTAAGAGCACCTATTCAAATCTCTCTTTTTGTCCATAACATTTTCACTATTCCTTGTCAAAAGTCTTGAACAGGTGTTAATATGTGACTTAAACAATATTTTCTAATTTTCACACAGCAAATAAGACATCATCTTTAATGACAGTCTTATAATCCTAATTCTCCCCTGCAAATCTATATATGCTGTCCCACGTCTCAAAGTCTACCATCTATATTGAGTTCACAGCTATCATTCTAAAATCTTTCCATCCTTTCAACTAGAACACTGAACCATGTTTACTCAGTTTTGTCTTCTTCATTTTAACCAGGTGTCTTCAGTCAAAATCTTTTTTTCCTTTTTCTACCTAATTTCATTTTCCTCCCAAGTCTCAGAACCTTGAAAGATATGTTATTCTCACATACTAATTCCTCCTCTATTTATACCACTTCTCTTTTTTCCAACTTCTTATAACAAGCTTCTCAACCCTGTTCAAGAGAACTTTCATTGGTTTCAAAACAGCTTTTTTACACATATTATCAAAAACAACTCAACAAACACTTTTTGAGAAACAATAACATCCTATTATAATGGTGGGACTACCAATGGTCTCTTTTAAGTTTAGTTTAGTTTGGTAAGCAAGAAAGGCACAGCAAATAATTTCAAAATAGCACAGTACTCATTAAGACAGAAGTATGCTCTGGGTGTCAGAAAAGCCCTTGGTTCACTCTAGGGGCTAGAGGAAACATTCTAGAGCCAGCAGCTCTTAAGCTATGTCTTATAACATCAGAAGAAATTAGGCTAGGGATAAAGGCTGGAGGGGATTCCAGACAGAAGGAACAACAAGTGTAAAGACAGAAGAAATTAAATAGCACTGGGTGAATGAGAACTTCCGATCTATTCTGCATTATCACAGCGTAAAGTGAGAGGAGGAAAACAGTAGAAAATGAAGGTAGAGATGTAGATAGGGGCCAAACCACACTTTGTCTTGAACTTGGACACAGCAACTGAGTCTGTCTTACATACATAAAGCTTCTCCCATCACCTATTACATGTGTGAGATAGGAGTATCCTAGCTTTGGCTGACATAAGACCATTTTTGGAGCAAAAACACTAAGATTACCTTGAAATTTTGAAATTAAAATATTTTATCAATGAACATTAAATAGCATTTAATGTCAATCAATAGTTATAAACATCTATGTGAATGGGATCTTCCTGGTTGTTTCCTAACTTTGAGAAAGTCTATAAAACAAAATCAAAAATTCTCTTTAAGTACAAGTTAGTAATCAAACTTCTCAAATCCAGAATGCACAGAAATACCTACATTTTATATAATGCTGTTATTACACCATAATGAGACAGAGATAAATGAACATATTTTTCAAAACTCAACTATATAAGCATAAATTATTCACATTATAAAGAAAAATTAGAGTCCCGTGTAAAATTTTCCATATGTATGTATGTGTATTTATTTATTTTGTTATGTTGTAGTAAGCCTTTTTCCAAGATCTTTATTCTGGACAGGGGTTGGAGTTAAGGGAAGGAAAATTCTGTTAAACAGTAAATCTATCAGTAATTAGAAACAATACTTTATCTTCAAAAATAATACTAAGATCTCTACCAATACTTAACATCAATAAAACAAATGACTGTGCCCCATTTAAAATTCCAGAAACTTTTGTTTCTTTAATGAGTAAGACCTTTAGATGTTCCATATTTCAAAACAATAAATACAATATGAAATGTTTTATAAAAGGATATACAACTTAAATATAATCTTTTACTCCTAAACTGAAAACAAATATAGCAGCTAATAAAAACATATGCGCCTTTCCACTACACCAAAAAGAACCAAAGCTGAAGTTGTTCCTTTTTTGTTCTTCACCTCTGTTTAAGCAAAACACAGCTCCAAGAAAAATTTATCATTACATTCTAATTAAAATATTAAGAAAGAGAAGTAAACTTACTCGTATCTGCTTGGCTTCCCACACTGATGTATCTATCATTGCCAGGTAGCGCTGTTTGGTAGTAAGTTGTCTCCTCCTGCTGAGGGGTCTTGGCATTCTTCGCAGTAAGGAAAGCCACTGCTAGTTCCAAGTTTCCGTTACTATCCTTCAAATATCAAGAACGGAACATCAAATATTTTGTAATAACTCTATACATTCTCATATGATTATGTAATTTTCTCCATAACAACTAATACTAATAGTAAAAATCATTTTCAGATTTAAAATTATTCTATGTGATTCTTAATTTTACAGTATAAATTCACTGTAAACAAAGTAGACTATATAAATAGTAATTCCTTTTTCTACTAATTAAAACTACTAATATAATGTAAAATCAATTCTATAACTAATTATCCAATCATAACTTACACTCCTAAACAAATGAACAAACTAAAAAATGTTTTCTGGAACTGACCACATAAAAGGGTGAAAAATAAATATTTAAAATAGTACTTCAGCAAACAAGGACAATAAAAGATATTCCCTTTAGTATGTATGCTGAATGCTTACCTAGAGGCAAACTAACAAGCAAATATCAAAGACTCATAAGAAGAAAACAACAAAATGGTCTGAAGCTTGATAGAGAGACACACAGAACTCCTAGAAATACTCAATACTATCAAGATGAAAATCCTACCCAAATTAAATATATAAATTGTATGTAGTTCTCATCAAAAGTATACCTGGACACTTTGTTATAAAGCAGAAACTAACACATCATTGTAAAGCAATTATACTCCAATAAAGATGTTAAAAAAAAAGGTATACCTGGACAAAATTATTCTAAAGTTCATTTAGAAGAAAACAGATGCTAAAAAACTAAGAATTTTTGAAATAGCAAAATGAGAAGAGACTTGCCCACTTATCTCTATATTCTCTCCACAGTTAACAATAAATATAACACTAGCTCTATGACAGCTAACTGAAACCACATTATGAAATCCAGATATTAGTAATGAAGTTATCTTTGTAACAGAAGGCCATAACCCATAATACTATGTAGGCCTTCAGAAGTTTAGCATACACACGAAGCATAATAGGAAGCCAGTGGAAGGTTTTGGACAGAAATGACATGGTATGATTTACATTTTAAAAGGATTACTCTGGCTGTATGCTGGGAATAGACTATAGGAGAGAATGGGTACAAGCAGAGAGTCCAACATTATTTGCTATCATATTAAATGTGGGGAGGGATAAAAGGAGAAAGAACAGGATGATTCCAAGATTTGAGGCCTGAGCAACTGGAAGAATGAAGTCTCCAACCCATCCTAACTCCAATTCTAGCAGCCTTTGAGGAGAGAAAAAAGTAAGAGTGCAGTCTGAAAAGCACCATTGTTTTAAACTTTGTTATCTGTCACAACCGTTATAAGATTCTTAAATGAATCATCCAAAATACGGGTTTAGCATAGTCTATAGTTAGATAAGTAAACTAGTCGTAAAATAATTGTAATAACAATGGCTAACATTTATTGAACACTGACTATGTGCCAAGAAATGTGCTAAGGGCTTTCCATATACTCTCTCATACAATAATAATAAACTGAATGCAGCAGGGATCTACACTCACTTTGGAGGTATAAATAAATTCTCAAAATGAAATACAGTAAAAGTGCTAAAATCGATCAATGACATTGTGGCTCCCAAAAGTAGACTCCTTGTCAGTATATTGCTGAGAGAGTCAACTCATTATTAAACATCTTACAAATTTATATTGAGCAACAGTTAAGGTTTAAGTACAGCACTGTTTGCCTCCCCAGATACTGATAACTGAAACAAAAGTTTTTAAAAAAAAACCATGGTCACACAACCTACCTCAAAGGAAATGTGGACAATAATTTAATTCTTAACGTTTACTTAATTTAGCATATACTACATGTTTCCCAAGTTAAAAAAAAATAAATAAGTGAATTCCCCAAATTTGCCCTGACAAAGTAATGGGTGTAGCCCCACACTCAGTGATAACAGAACGGGAAAGGCAATTTCTGAAAATAGACATGGAATGATTTAATCATATTTAGCAGAATAAAGAAAGGACTGGCAATCAACTAAATGTCATAATCATAAAAATTGAGGCACAACACTTTTGCTTCCTCTCCAAATACTTACAGTGGCTTCATAACCATGCATTAAAATGCTCCTAACAGTACTGTTTCATCGTTTTCCTGATTGGGGAAAACAGCTGAAGCAAAGCTTCCAGTAAGGGTTTCCCTGGTGGCACAGTGGTTGAGAGTCCGCCTGCCGATGCAGGGGACATGGGTTCGTGCCCTGGTCCGGGAAGATCCCACATGCCGCAGAGCGGCTGGGCCCGTGAGCCATGGCCGTTGAGCCTGCGTGTCCGCCGCAACAGGAGAGGCCACAACAGTGAGAGGCCCGCGTACCGCAAAAAAAAAAAAAAAAAAAAGCTTCCAGTGAAAGGAGAAATTATGTGTGGCACTGGGATCAGGCTGCTTGGTTTCTATTCCAAGCTCCTCCACATACTATGTGATCTTCAGCAAGTCACTTTAACTTCTCTGTTTCCTTATCTTTTAAAAAGGGGATAAAAATAATACCTACGTCATAGTTATTAGGAGGATGAGTTAGCCACATAAAGTACTTAGAATAGCACTGTAAGTGCTTAATAAGTACTAGTTATTATCACTACAGTTATGATTACAATCATCCAAAAGATAAATTATTTCTAGAAACAAATGAAGAACTTCTGGCACAAAATCAAAAATGATATAATTAATGTTGTCTCTCAGAGCAACTTGCAAAGGACTGAAGCTATGTGTATGCCTATAGTCGCAAAAATGCTGTACTGCTGTTAGCCTTTGGCAGCAATCTATAAATAAACTTAAAATGCAGTTCTAGTTCTTGAACATCTTTCATTCACTTGCTCTCTTTCAATGTGCACATCCATATGATTTGACTCATCTGGGTGCCACTGTGTGGAAATGAGCATAACTTTGTAAAATATAACAAAAATCAGGCCCTTCATTTAGTGCATAATAGAACAGTTTGATGTTGAATGTTCTTAAGGTGCAATTAATTGAATGTTAGCCAATTTATATTTCTCCTTCTTGGAAGAAAAAAATGTTAACTTCTGATACTCTGTTAATTTTCTCCCACTTCCTCTTCCTCCTCCTCCTCTACCCCACCCTACCCCCCACCCCCAATTAAACTCTAAAATCATGTCTCTTGAGTAAAACCAGCCATTAGCACTTGGATTCACTTCCCACCTTTTTGCATGAAAAGTGTTTCACATGGAGAGGTCTTCTTTCACTCCAAGGTATCTTGGAACATTAGGCTGCTAAAAGCTAACATACTTGAAGTTGCACTATGTTATGTTAAGTAAGGTTCTTACTTTATAAAAGTTATTTCCTATATCTCTACTACTACCCATGGTATAATTTAAAAACTCAAGTTTCAAATATGGTAGGCAGTGGAGATGAGGGTGTACTAGAAACTGTATGTCGCAAAACAGAGGCCATACCTTCAAGGCTTGCTGTAGTATCTGGGCATCATTAATCCCAGTAATTTCTCTCAGCTGGTTCAAAAACGTCTGCTGGTGCTAGAGGAAGGGAAAAACCAAAAGTGTTATCTATGAAATCTGAAAATATACAAGGACAAGAAAATAAATGACCTTTGGGGAAAAAAACAGAAAACACAAAATAAACTAGAGTGAAAAACAAAAAAACAATAGAACTTGACAAAGACTGAATAAATTTCATTCTTTTAGGAAGAATGAACCATACTGTGGTAGCCCTTATTCCATTCTCATGTTTCTAAAAGTCCATTCTTCACTGCCTAATTTATGCCTCCCAACAAGAAAAGAAGTGATCTGCCTGATGGCTAAACTTAAGAAGAACTAAGGAAAACAGGTATTCATTGGGCTACTTTAACTAGGGGATGAGACCACAGAATGAAATCCAGGCAGCCCTACTAATCGCTCCCTCTACCTTAAGTCAACCAGCATTGAGGCACCTAGGATGTTTGGAAAAAACATGCCTTTGGCAGGCCAAGCACTAGGTGGATATATTACACCACGGGGATTCTACCCTATTCAAGGAAAAATAGGATCATCTCCATTTTCCAATCTGTCATAAAAGATCCAAAGTAAAATTGATCACTTGCCCCCATTTGCTTTAAATCTGTTTATACTCTATTGATCTATATAATCGACTATACTCTACTGGAGAGAAAAAGAGGTAGGATAAGATTCTACTACCAAAACCCTTCCCTAAACTTCCCTAATTAAGAACCATGCTCCTCCCTACATCTCTGCATTTCTTTTTCTTTTTTTTTTTTTTTTTTTGCAGTACGCGGGCCTCTCACTGTTGTGGACTCTCCGGTTGCGGAGCACAGGCTCCAGACGCGCAGGCTCAGCGGCCATGGCTCACGCACCTAGCCGCTCCGCAGCATGTGGGATCTCCGGACCGGGGCACGAACCCGTGTCCCCTGCATCGGCAGGCGGACTCTCAACCACTGCGCCACCAGGGAAGCCCCATCTCTGCATTTCTTAAAACAAGTTCCCCAAAACTGTAAGATGGCACCATGAAATAAAGAAAGCTCAATGGATATGACATGGAAAACAAGTCACCACCACCACTAGAATAAAAGGATCTGCTGAAATCTTCTGTCTTCCCACTAAACATTCGTATGTGACATTCACTAAATGTCACTCAGTGTTTCCTCCTCTAGCATCCTGTCCAAGTTCTAGGTAGGATAAAGGGCAAAGGACAAAGGGTGTCTGCTAAATGACTCTGCGTTCTTTAATAAGCCCTATCTAGTGACTTCCACTTAAGGCCTCACTAAGCAGAACAAAGTCACGTCATGTGGCCACTCATACTTGCAAAGGAGGTTGGGAAATGTATTTTTCAGCTAGGCAAAAAGCTTTTCTGCAAATCTGTTGCTAAGGAAAAAGAAAAGAATGTACCAAACAGGCATTGGCAGTATCTGCCATGCCATCAATGAATTTTAATTTCCATAAACATCTTATTAAAAGCTGAGATAACTGAGACTAAAAATAAATTACATAATAAAGTATATAAACAAAGGTCATATAAAATGCCAAAATGAATCAAAATAGTTGAATAAAAGAACTGAACTGCCAAATTCACAGTGCTGAAACATGAGAAAAATAAAATTCTCTTTAGACCTGTCAACTTTTCTACTTTCATTTTAAAAATTACTATTAGCTAGCAACGGAACCACGACTAACTTACACAATACGCAACATTACAAATTAAAGATATATACAAATTTTACAGAAATTCTCCTTATCTAATTGCAATGTCTTATTTTAGTGAACATAAAATATTTCAAAGATTTTACAAGCTTCTTTGTAATCACCCCTACCAGCACTCCAAACTCCATTCTTTACACAGAATATAATTTTCCTCAACTGCAATTATTCAATCGTGTATCAGGAAAAGACTATTGAATACCCCAAAGAAATCAGTCATGTGTACAAATGATGCTCGCTATTATTTATAATGCTGGAAAAATGGAAACAATGCAAATGTCCTTCCACTAAGGAAGAGGTTCTAAACTGTAATGTGCAAAAGAATGCCTTGATAAATTTGTCAGTAAAGGAGATTCCCAGGCGCCACACCCAGAAATTGTGATTCCAGAGCCATCTGGATCTGCTAGGGGATCTGTTAGGGGATCTGCAATTTTAGGAAGCATCTCAAATGATTTTGATATAAATGAACCTAGAAGCACAGTTTGATTTAAGCAAACAACTGTATATTTTTAAATAGCAAATATATAATCTATATAGCAGTTAATCTTTACAAAATCATATTAAGCTAAAGTGGTAAAATACAAAATTTTGTGTGTATATGTTAATAAGTATAAGGTAAGATGTAGAAAAGAATGTAAAACCCAGAAAAGTTTACAGAGCCTGCATTGCATTAGACTCCCAATTCTTCTCCCATCTCTGTACCCACACCCTTTGCCACTTCTCACCCCCTCTCACCAGAAACACGATATATTTCCTTGTTGTGCTGATGATAGGCTTGGCCATGTGACAAGCTTTCATCAATGGCATATTAGCAAACAGTATGCAAGCAGACATGAAATGTGCTTGCATGGTTGGGCTTGCCCTATTGAACTTCTGCAACTTCCTCAAGAAGAACATAAGCTGGGGAGCCCACTTGTTGCCCCAGAAGAATGGGGCATGTGAGAAGAGCCACCCCAACCAACCAATCTGAACACGATGACAATATTTTGGTATGCCACTAACTTTTGGTGTGGTCTGTTACACTGATAGTTGACTGCTAGAGAGTATTATAAGAATACTGAGTATTTTATGAAGAGAAGCAACGTCTAAAACTTTTTTTAATTAATTAATTAATCTATCTATCTTTGGCTGTGTTGGGTCCTCGTTGCTGCGCACAGGCTTTCTCTAGTTGCAGCAAGCGGGGGCTACTCTTCATTGTGTTGTGTGGGCTCCTCATTGTGGTGGCTTCTCTTGTTGTGGAGCACGGGCTGTAGGCACATGGGCTTCAGTAGTCGTAGCACAAGGGCTCAGCAGTTAAGGCTCACGGGCTCTAGAGCGCAGGCTCAGTAGTTGTGGCGCACGGGCTTAGTTGCTCTGTGGCATGTGGGATCTTCCCGGACCAGGGCTCGAACCCGTGTCCCCTGCACTGGCAGGCAGATTCTTAACCACTGCGCCGCCAGGGAAGTCCTAAGACTTTGTTTTCACTTAGTATTTTGTTCATCTTTCACAATAATGTCAGCTAAATATCCTAATAAAATAATTCAGGTGCATGGTTCTTCATCTCATGAATTTTGACTGAAAAATGAAACAATAAAGAGAAAAGGATGAGGGTGGGGAAGAAGGCAGAGTGGGAAGGAGAAAAAGTAAATGTATTTTCTTAACTAAATTAGGAAGAACCAGGGCCGAGATCGAAAGAGGCGAGCTATGAGAAAAATTCTAAGTTAATGGTAGAGAAGCCACCTCATTTGTCAAGTTTTCCCCTTTGTTATTGGCATCTTCCAGCTGTGCTTTTCCTGTCTTTGAAAATTTGCACCTTCATTTCCTACAATTATATGTTTTTGTTGCTATTATTTCTGTTGTGATTAAGACCCTGGTCTTCTTTCGAGGTCTGCACCTTCTTATTTACCAAACTTCAGGTCTGATACACGCTGATCCTCAACTAAAAACGTCCTGCATATGGTTCTCTCCTCCTTGACTAGCGATTTTGGATCCAAGGTGGATCTAACCCACTATCATTTCTAGAATTCCTTTTCTGAGCTCTGAGGTCTTCCTTGTATGGATTTCTTATCTACTACAGTATAAGGAGGTGGGTGCAACATGTTCACACTGCTGGACCAAGAAGAGCAAGACACAATGTTCAAAGAGATTCAATGGCTTGCAAACACCACAAAAATCAATAAGCAAACAAACCAAGACTATCTACAGGCCTTCAGATTCCTTCCTCGATGTAATCTTTACTGAGTGATGACATCCTTAAGTACCTACTACGTGCAAAATCCAGTACTATGCACTTCAGGGAGAAGAAGGCATCAGTAATCTCAATATAAAGTAAGGATCAGAGTGTTTCACAGAAATTCCATCTCCCCACCCCACCCCCTGCCATTCATCCTACGTAATGCTGGGTCTGTTTTAAATCTGTTTAACTAAGACTACAGCATATTTAACATTGTTGTAACTGCTTGAGAATGCAAAAAATGATCACTGGCTTAAGCCAAAATAGAAGACAAGCATTTATTATGCTCCTGCTGTATGCCAGACTGTTTTAAGTGCTTCCGGTGTATAATCTCATTTAATACATGTGCACGTGCACACACATAAACCCTCTAGAAAGTTACTCTCATTTTATAACTAACAGAATATTTAAGAGACTAATAAGTACAGAGAGAAATGACTGACTAATTTTTCAACTTCCACAGCCCATGTCTCTTCCACATTTTCTCTATGGTATCTGATTTTGCAGATTAAAGATTCAGTGAAAATTGAAAACTCAGCCCAAAAATCCATTACTATGCTGACATAAAATACTTAGATAATGGTACAAGAAAACTGGAGTAATGATGACAAGGCAGGAAAGCTTTCTGTGTTAAGGGGTGAGTGACTCTTAAGTCAGTCCTTGGTTCCTTTGACTGAATTTCTAAATATAAATAAAACTTGGTTTAGTGCAAAAGAAAGAAAGACAAAGGTTTCCATCTTCAGGGGAAAATACGGTAACTCTTAGAATAACCTCTAAAAAAAACCTCAAAATCTCTAAGAAAAGAAGAAAAAAACCCAATTTGATAGAAAATCCCAAAGTATTCATAAACTTCAGAATCACATGCCCTAAACTTCAGAATCAGCATTGCTAGGCACCAAATGGTAAACATTTCAAAGTTGCCTATCAATGAAAGGATTAACTATACTACTGCCTTTAAGGTACATAACCATACATATATCTATTTTTACAAATACCTTCTGCATATACCTAATTAACACTGAACTGCCTTACTTCATGTTATCTCTTACCATAACAAAAAGTTCCCAAACTTCATTGACAGATAATTTCAAGTACATAATATATCCTTCAAGTA